GTAGTAGTGGTGGTGGTAGAAGTAGTAGTAGTGGTGGTAGTAGTAGTAGTTGTAGTGGTAGTAGTAGTAGTAGTAGTAGTAGTAGTAGTGGCGGTAGTAGCAGCAGTGGTGGTGGTAGTGGTTGTAGTAGCAGTAGTAGTAGTGGTGTAGTAGTAGTAGTAGTTGTTGTGGTGGTAGTAGTAGTAGTGGTGGTAGTAGTAGTAGTAGTAGTAGTAGTAGTAGTAGTAGTAGTAGTAGTATGTTCACGGGTGATGCTGTTGAAGTGACAGCGCTGTGGAGTTAGTAGTTGTTAGTGTTGAAGTACATTTAACTAACATGTCAAGTGATAACAAGACTGTATTCATCTTAATTGATTTTATAACATATTTGAATATAGTTCTTTTTCCCAATTCCAATTTCACGTCGAACGTGGAGTGTATATCGATAACCCAGACAAGCGCTCTACATTATTAAAGCAGTTGACACTCTATTGTAATCGATATCACCCTGACCTATAAATGACATATTTCAAGACACATTTCAGTCAGGATGACTTCGAGGTGTTGTGAGCCAAGACGATCACAGTAATAACAGCTGTTCATGATTTTTCTGTTGCAATTCCAACAAAGAGAGATTAACTCAATCCAAAACAAAACATTATGAGTTAGTTACGCTTTGTTTCCAAACCGCCGAGCCGGCAGATTATTCTGCTGAGTAAGCGGTTTTGTAACGTTCAGCGGAGAGCGGAAGCGGCATGTTAAGGCAGGTGTGTATGAGCGATCTAAAGGCGCGATCGTGTTACGGATTCACCCGACCTTGATCACTGCCCTACATTCCCACCCACACCACATGATATTGTGGGTGCGGCAGACCCAATCGCGGCTGGCCTCTAGTTACTGAAATTCCGGATGTTGGACCTTCCTGTGAATGCATAGTTGGTGGTTGCGTGGGTTAATCACTACATGCATGGTACTAAGACTATGACGCTTAGTCCCTGAATATACATAATTTGGGTAGCAACAAATAAACCCATTAAATTGAAAAGGAGCCCCAGTGAGTTGGGACATTCAGGACCTGGGGAAATCTAGACTTGCTTCATTGCTGGGAGGGTTGGCTGGAGGGGAAATAATGTGGTTTGGGGACTGTGAGACAGATTAGCATTGTACAGTACATCAGTCAGTTGTATTTGAAAATCGAGTAATGATTCAAGTGAGTGAGTGAGTGAATATAGTTTCAGCAATATTCCAGGAATATCACGGTGAGGACACCAGAAATGGGTTTCAAATAAAGATTTAAATGTGGATGAATTTACCAAATCCATTACCGACCCCTGATTGTATTTGCGTAGTATATTGGGTAGAACGATATGAGCAAATTGACATATTTCAAACCATGGGCATTTTAGTTAGGATAATCTTTATAGAAGTGAGTGAATCATAATTGATATCGATAATGTGAATGAAACGCGAGAGAAATGGCAGATGTAAATAAATTCAATATTTATTAAAAAAATAAAGACAAATTACAAACAGATGAATTATACCACAGCGTGTGCATAAGAAAACATACATTAATACATGAATAAGATAATGTAAACCACACAACACGGAGGCATTGTTTCATATTTTTACACAAGGTCCAGCTTATTGTCAAATAAAACGTCATAGATCACACAACCATGCTAGCGTTCACACTGAAATCATGTGAAAAACTATGAAACCGTCATTGTATGCAGAGAAAGATGCTAATCTCACTGCATGCCAAAGTGCGGAGACGTTGTTGTAACTGTCGCACGTCTTCCATCGTGGACGACTGTGAACGTAGCTACGACGCAACTAGTCACAGGGACACCTTCACGAAGACGTCACTTCAAAGTCCACATGGCATTTAACGTCCACGCACATGGCACCGTTTTTCACATGGCGACGGGTTGTCATACGACGTTGAGTACGACGACGACAGCAGTGGTAGGTGGCATGCAACTGAAACCTTATTTAACACAACAAGTATGTATTGTTCTGACAGATGTGTGTTGCCTAATTGTATGTAAGGTTGGGGCACAAGAAACTAAATATGCCTCTCAGTTGATTTATCATGTTTTATTTTCAGTTGAAAATAACTTAACTTTTCGATATTACATCCAAAAGATTAAGTGCACTGTCTCTTAGTCAACACCAAAACAGCACTTCTGTAAGGAGATATTTTTTTAAATCTATAGATCGATACGTTTAAAAATTAATAAATGTGCATAAAACACAATTGAGAATGTTAATCTCAGACGTTTAAAGTCGTGTTCAGGATTGCCCTTAGATAGTAACACGCATGTGCGTGTTTATGTTGCATATATTCCGGACAAATGTGGTTCTATTTTTGTTATTGCACCGAGACACTATCTCGTGGTTTAACGTGGCCAGCCCACTTGGACACGGTCCACTGAACCGGACAGTCCTGGTTTGATCCCTTAATACCGCGTAGGGGAAAGTCCAGTGGCTTTGTACACCTCTTGCATGACTCAGCCGGGGATCAAAGGCAGGAGCTGTCTCTGACGACAATGTTCTCACAAGGTAAAGGAATGCTCGGCTAATGCCGCAACAAGATAACGGACGACAAGTGGACAGCAGCTGTGAGTGAGTGAGTGAGTGAGTGTGTGAGTGAGTGTGTGAGTGAGTGACGCCGCTGTTAGCAATATTCCAGCAGCAATAAGATAGCGGAGGACACCAGAAATGGGCCTCACACATCGTACCCCTGTTGGAAATCGAACCCGAGTCTTCGGCGAACGCTTTAACCACTAAGGTACTACACCGCCCCTGCGGCTATGGTCACTGACAAGTATGTCTATATCTTTCAATTTACCTGACATCCAGGAGCCTACATCTGGCGATCAGTATTACCTGATATTTGTATTCATACACCGACCGGCGGAAGCTGGCTTCCGTTCTGTACCCGTTCAATTCTAGAGCTTAAAAGGAATTCAAAACATATACCTTCACAGGAAACATAAGTGTACCGAAGAATTCCGTATTGCCGCGTATACGTCATTCACGTGTACGTATTAACCATGGGGATTAAAGGTCAGATGAGGTCACAAGCACCCAAAGCGTGACCTATTAAGTCATGGCCAGGGGGCACGGGTATTGTCAACGTAAAGCCTGCAGTTGCAGCCAGCAGACTGTGTGTCATCGTATAGCCTCCATTACATTTCATTACATTCGTTTGCACAGATTCGATTAATGCACTTTCACACCAAAGACCCGCGGGTTCGATTCTCCACATGGGTACAATGTATGAAGCCCATTTCTGGTGTCCCACGTCGTGATATTGCTGGAACATTGCTAAAAGCGGTTTAAAACAATACTCACTCATTCTCTCACCCATTATCAAAGCACTTGGACAAGCTGGAAAAAAGCCTAATATAGAGTGAGTGAGTTTAGTTTTACGCCGCACTCAGCAATATTACAGCTCTGTGACGGCGCTCTGTAAATATTCAAGTCTGGACCAGACAATCCAGTGATCCAGTGATGCATGAGCATCGATCTGCGCAATTGGGAACCGATGACATGTGTCAACCAAGTCAGCGAGCCTGACCACCGGATCTCGTTAGTCGCCTCTTACGACAAGGATGGGTTACTGAAGATCAATATTCTAACCCGGACCTTCAAGGGTTTAACAGTGCATAGATTCAGGCACATTAAATGGACGAAAGCACATAAAACTAGCTTTAATCATAATAGGACATTTGGCAGCCAACTATAGATATTCAGGGTGGCCATTGCTAGGAAATAAAAGCATATTCATATCTACATGGAGTAATATTCATTTAGTAATATTTAATCAATAAGTGTCCATTTTTCAGCTGCAGAGTCATTTTCTTAGCATTTACCTATGGAAACTGTGTTAAATACAAATTGCAACGGTATATGCCCGATATAACAGCTCAATCCACGAAACGTCGAGAAGGTCCCTTTAGCGGTTAACCGTAAATACACGTCTGCACCTTCAAGCGTACCAGACACACAGCAAGGCTGCCGGTCGATAACCAGACTCATGGTTATCCTGTATTACTTAAGACACTTCAAACTTTTAGAAATATTATCATTTAGTAAATGAAAGCATACGATTGCAATATTCACAAACATGGATGACGAAATGGGCACGTGTACTTACATAATGTTTTCCATTGGAAAATACGAGTGATTAAGTAACGGGTATATATATCCTTGTATATTCAAGATGATATCAACAACGGAATGTGATAACATCCGTTTATCATAAAAAAAAAAACCACACATACGACCTCTATTAACCACATGTACACGTCCTTTCCAGGTAAACTAAAAATAGATTCTCGGGAAAACCGGCCACGCGGATTTCACGATCCTTGTGCAATGACCGACCTAATCTAGTTATCACCGGTTCTGGTCTGTTGGGTCACGTTCATGTGGCCAATGTTATGTTCACTCTACTGAACACAACTTTGTACAGAATAACATTTACAAAATGAAAACATTGTTAAAAAATTTCAAAGGTTACAGAATGAATATGCAATGCAGTGATGGTCTTTCGTCACGAGAGAAAATTTAATAAATCTGAAGTGAATTCACTCACGATTCATGCTCAGTATTTGTTTTTTCATATGGGTAAACATGAATAAAGAACACTGTTCGTAGGATCAGCATCATGCAATATTTCAAACGTAGTTAAAACGAATGCTCTGGATCTTGAAGTGGCAGGAATTCCCTAGCCTCGTTCTGGAATTGCTGGCGCAAGACCCAACGTGTTAAAAGCGGTTGGGAGAATTTACATGTGTAGCGATTTGTTTAAACAATCATGCACTAGTGCAAGCAGTTATCTGAATTAAAACATTCCAGTTCTTTAAGGCACGTCAATGTGCTTGAATGGGTGCAGCATGGGCAACGAATATAGCTCACTTTGACAGATAATAAGGGAATTACATTACAGGCGACATAGCAACCGGTTTCTAGGGAAGTATTTTCCTTACCTTTGACATCTGCTTCCAACCAATGGGAGGACCGGACGGACGGGCAACACCTTGCATTGAGCTAAAGACTGATACCCGCAGCGTGTCAGCACATTCTTGTTGTGAGACTTCTGAGGAGAGGACGTGTGTGTATTTCATGCAAACTGTTGGATATACCTGTGCAGAAATCGGAGTACATTTAATCATGACACTTACAGAATGCGACGATAACAGCAAAATGCAGCAGAAACCACAGTAAGTACTGCTTATTTTATCCAGGTGTCTCAGTCAAATGTACCTTTGGCCACGTAATCATTGCAACGTTGCATCAGGTGAGAAGATGGGTCCGATTTTAGACTTCAGGTTTAAACACCAGTACCCAAATTGAACTTGTATGTCACAGGGATTAATGTCTCCGATGATTCTGCTATAATTTTAGGAAGTTGGCATCGATTCTAAAATTTGACACTTTGACAGGTATTCTTTCCCGCGCGTTCGGAACATTATGAAAGCCATGTTTGCAAATTCTTTTAAAAGCTTGGCAGTCACTAGTTGACAAGGCAGAGTGTGGAATGTCATTTATTCTCAGTAAAACTGTCAAAAAATATAAGCGATTTTCGAATCCTTTTTTCAGAAAGCATGTGCATGGTACCTTCTAAATGGATTTTGACATTCGATTAATTCGTTTAATACGATTCATATGATATATAAGCAAAACAGTATTTTGCAAATTGTTGTCGGGACATGTGCTGTATGAAACGTTGGGCCGGCCCGAATCCAGAATCCCAGCGCGTGACTGGATGACGTCATCAGCGGTCCAGTGTTTATGTGTTGCAAGTGGTGATATACAAACACGGGGATATCAGTAGATCGATGTTAATCTTAGTATGGGTATGTGCGCTGATTGTGATTATATTACCACAAAAGGTGCTTTACAATGAAATCAGCTGATAAGCTCGTGGTTGGGCTCGCGCTCGCGGTCGATCAGGGGAACCCCTAGCTGTCATGCAGGTTGTGATTACTCATGAGGCTATTTATAGACATGACTACGATCTTACCATGACAATGTTAAAAACGCATGTTGTTTTTCGTGTTTCAGGAATCAGCTAACGGTAGGCCACGCCCTCCGAGACACAATCTGGCAGGGCTTAGAGCAAGGGAGATTGACTTGCGGAATGTTCGAGTGCGCAAAGCATTTAGAAATGTAAGTATAAAATTTAACGACTAATTCAATTTGAATATTTTTAATTTCAAAATAATTAATATTTAATTAAGACTATTATAATAAATATATGTACTATCCTTGCAGGGTATGAATGCAAGGTCGTCATCATAAGATGCTTGTAGAACTGTATAATTCGACCTTGTGGTGTAGATAAAAGTGAAAATAGGAATGATGGGAATCTGTCATTTTAAAAAACACATACAAAAATATTTTGAGTACTTGTTATATGTTGTTATATATGCATGAAATTAATCAAACTTGTTATTTTTGCAGTAACCCTCACAACATCATGTTGTGTGTCCTGCCTGAAGATATGGTAGGGGATGTGTCCGTACATATTCATCACACTCTCATCGAGGCTTTCTGTATGGAAAACAACATCAGACTTGTCAGGGTATGTAGCTTTAATCTTTTTCCGTATCTTTTGTAATTTGTATTTTGGATAGCTTTTTTCCCACCAGCATTGAAATATACTACATTAAAGAAGTTCAGGGCCATTCGAATCTTACATATTTCTATAATTAATCTTTCGTGACATATTTGCTTCAGAAATATGAAAGAGTCTGGTCCTTCACCTTTAGTAGTATAACAGTTTGACCAACTTGTTAAGAAGCTTGATCAGAAGCATGAAGTCATTTAAGGTCAATGAATAATCTCACTTTTGCCAACGGCCATAAATTGTTTACCTCTGCCTTTGTTATGGTCCTATAGAGACTCTAATCGGAGTTTCAAACAGGGACACTGTGCTTATGAAATAAGTGCCTAAAGCTTCTGATTACAAAATGGCAATGTGTTGTCTCTTTGTGTCATTGTGTCCATTGTGAGCATGCAACGGAGGCACTTCGACAAAACACACTGTTTGCGCTAAATACAAACAAACATGTTTACGGGGTAAGGCCCCGTCTGTGTTGCCAATTGGCGCAGCTCTGCATACATATCCCAGTATAACAGGAATTTGATCTAACTTGTTAGAGTCACCTACAAAATTTCACTGCGTCATCGTATGCCCTAGTTTGCCCTCTACCTACATAATCATTGGGATAGATTGGCGTTGCCACACTCATGAATATTAATTTAAGGACCGACCAATCAGATCTTCGCTTACAAACGCATTAGGATAGAAATTCGGTCAGATAAACAATAGCACGTGTCTTTGCTCCAGATCGTTGAGAACGTGCATCATTGCACGCGACTGGAATAGTCATCAGATTTGCATTTTGTTTTACTCAGGTTTCTCTGTTTTTTCTTCAGAAGAATTTGCGCACATATATTTAGGAGATAACGGGGTTGCCCTACATAACACACATGAAATAAGTTAATGATATGCCTTAGTTTTAGTTGTTTTCCAAACAGACCAATATGCTCGGATTTTGATGGTTGTTACAACAATTTTGATCCTTCAGGTTGACAGCGAAGACAAACTGGCGTCAGTTGTCAAGTGTCGCCCAGGGCAGCAGATGAACGACAACGATGTTGCTGCTGGAAGGGTTACGTACAGCGACGCAGGCTGCGTCATCGTGGACTACCCAGAGGAAGACGACCTCAGTCCTGCTGAAGTGACCGTGACCACATTCTGCAAGTCTGTGGCCGGGAAGGGTTATGGACCTGCGTCCGTTGTGACAATACCCGCATGAACATGAGGGACATAATATGGACAATCTAAGGTAACTATTCTAGCAGCTACAATTAGGGTATTTGGTTGGTTGGTTGGTCTATCAGGGGCGTTAGTTGCCATTATAGATAAAGACAGGGCTTAAACATGATTGCTGAAAAAAAGGTTTGGCAAGCCCTCAATACTATCGAAATAAAAAGCTTTGCAACCTATCGGGTTTACACGAAAAAAATGGCTTGCTACGTCTGGTCTTTTACTACATAAGAGGCATGTTTGATGTCCAAATTATGTCAGCAGATTAGAACTTCATAAGAACGGCTATTGTTAAACGTTGTATAACGTCGTCAATATTGCTATATGACAATTACCTGTAAGCAAATGAAAACAGACCAGATAACCTAAGGGTTGATGTCATGAGCAGCGACCTTAAAAGTGTTCGATTTAGCATCAGTGAACACGTTGTTGAGTAGTGCTTTATGAGATTGCATTTATGTTTCAGGGAAAACCACATCCCGAAAAATATCCACAAAAAATGAAGAGATCTTCATGCCGGTGAGACATCTCAGATCTGCAACTGCCAAGTTGGATCTATGTCTCAAACCGTAGATGGGTTGAAGTCATCTTCATTGATACATATCCATTGTCTCATCAAAACCCATTGGTCATGTAAACGCCATGATTCAGGACGAGAGACACGGATTGACCAGAAGCACTGGTTATCCCGCCATCATCAAGGTTCATCATCACGTCATCAACCAACACAAACGAACCACGTGAGATGAACTGTGAATGAACATCGAAATTCGTTTGGATATCACCTGAACAGTGTTTAAAACAACATTTCATGCCATTCATCTATGCAAAAAAATATAAAAGGAAAAAATGTGTGTATATAACATTTGACAAAAAGTGACAATGCTTCGTCTGGGAATGACGAACAGTCTAGTGCATCAAGGCATTGGAACATGTGACTTTCTTCTAGGGTTACCTGCCCTTGAACGACACGTTGAGGAACGAGGGGAAGCTGTGAATGAGCTCAGAGAAGCTCGAACCTGCCGACCAGCTAACGGCTATATAAAATAACGGGACTTTGTGTATGCATTGCCCTGCATTACGCAATAGACAATTGTATGTCAGTTCATTATAGATCACTGGAGAGTTACGTTTACGTTAAATATAGTAGCTACTTTCTCTGACATTTGTAAAGCTAAATTAATAAGTTATTGTTTGCATTTTGCATTAGGTTACTTATAATGTTTTAGATATTTTGTTTAGATTTAGAAATAAAAAGTGAAAAGTATTTTCTATTTTCATTTTGTTCTTGAGGGTGAAGGTGAGTGCGAGTGAGTGAGTTTACGCCGCATCACGACCGGAAGCACTGGAAAAGGCATCCCACATTACACACATGTGGGGAAGCGAACCGGACCTTCGGCGTGGCGATCGAACACTTATCAACTTGGCTACCTCGTGCTCTCTGTTAGTGGATGCTTATTGTCTCTGCAGTCAGAAGTCTTTTCTTCGATGACACGTGAATGGTCAATATTTTATTGAGACCAACAGGAGTCAATACGGTGATCCTGGATGCAGGCTGTCGGATTGTCTGATGCTTGTATTTCACTTTGTATTGATGCAATACGTCAACATGGTTATGGCAAAGCAACACGCCAGACAGGATTATGACAATGAACACAGCTGCGATCCTTGGTATCCACTCATTCCGATATACACTCGTGTACACATCATGATATAGCCAGATTCGTAAAACGTATAATATATGTTTGATGAATATGTGTGCGCAAAAACTTCTGTATCTACAGCACAAAAACACATTTGTTAAAATTTACCTAAAGGCAATTGAGGTGTCTTGCTCACAACGTCAGAAAGTGTTGGGTTTTTTTGGTTTTATTTTTATTTCATTTTATTTTTATTTTATTTTTTTTGGGGGGGGGGGGAGAGAGAGAAGAACCCCCGAACCACACACACACAAGTGTAAACTTAGGCTCAGTATCATTCGTAACTCTGCTATACTGAGACTCAGTACAGCAGTGTAACGAATGACACTGAGCCTACGTTTACTTAGACTGACACACACACCCTGAAAATTCCTGGATCCGCCTTTGACGTGAAGGTTGTATGTATGGACTGCAAAAAACACTGTCCACTGTATCGTATACACACACTTGACAAAGATGCCACCACGAAGCGATGTAGCGCGATTCGGTGAAGCCAAAAGGTCACCTTGCCCTACTTAAAGGTCATCGCAGTGGTCATGCATGTAGGTCATCCCTCGCACGCATCACTAAAAGACCGCTGGAAATAGTTACAAAACGGTGATCCAAGTTTAACGTCTCCGGTGCTCCTTGACACAGATTGTAACTGGTCTGATTTAGATTTGCCAAACTCACCATATAAGTGAGTGAGTATGGTTCTACGCCGCTTTTAGCAATATTCCAGCAATATGAACGGCGGGGGACACCAGAAATGGGCTTCACACATTGTACCCATGTGGGGAATCGAACCCGGGTCTTCGGCGTTACGAGCGAACGCTTTAACCATTAGGCTACCCCACCTCCCCTCACCATATAAGTAATTGGGAGTGAGTGAGTGAGTATGGTTTTACGTTGCTTTTAGCAATATTCCAGCAATATCACGGCGGAGGACACCAGAAATGGTGAACCAATGTGAGGAATTGAACCTCGTCGGCGTGTCGAGCGAACGCTTTAACCACTAGGCTACGACACGGCCCATATAAGTAATTGGAATGTATCTGACCGTAGGGTACAGGTCGTAGGTAATACTTACTTGTATGGTATCAGCACCTAGCTCGCAGTCTCCAATTTACCTACATTGACAAGCGATGAAAAATGCAGCTATTGTGATTTGGCAGTTGGTGTGGGTAGTTTCATTGCTCTTTTCGTGTAATATACAACCTGTCAACTTCGAGGACACCGTGCTGTGGCAAGTGCAGCTTGCGTGTATATTTCATATATTGTTCTGTGCCCAATCTTGTCTGCTTTAAATGTGTCTCAATGCATGTCATGTTTGCAATGCTGTTTATGGCAACTGTGGAGAAAGCATCCTATACACCAAGACCTCGGTAATCCAGACATGTTGATGTAATGTTTGTGTCACACTGGAACCTCGTTAATCCGAACCTTTGAATGTAACCAATGTGTTACACGTTTTTTATCAAGAATTTTCGAGGTAACATTCTTGCAAGCACCCAGTAAGAGCTTTTTCTGGCGAACATGAAAACTGTGTTTTATTATATAAATCTCGTGGACTTAAGCGTACGATCACTCCAAAGTGGCTTCGACAGGAAAACGTTCACTGTAATAATTTCTAGAAGTTAAAACTTGATCTGTGTGCGTGACGTAGCAAACAAGTGACATCCACACTTCCATGCTTCTGAAGCAGAAGTTTCACTACTTATTCACTACACAATGGTTTAGTTATTAATGTTTACCTGCAGAAAATGTAGGAAGGGTGGTGTTAATAAATAATCAGAAAATTAAACTGCGCATTTAATAGCACAATTTTTGTCAACACATGTTGGCATAATGAGACATATTCTCGGGAAAAACACAAAACAGACTCTCATCTTGCTATATATGACATCGCAGGACAGTGATTCTTCAACAAAAATAGATGTCGATAGAAGGGTGACAAATAACTTAAAATACTACTTCGAGGACTTCATGAATGAGGGCGCCTTAATAGGCAAAGACATGGGACGTAGTCAGTACCATATCAGGTATAAACATGACACTGATACGAATACCCAAATTATCACGCACCCGTATATGTAATGTCCATATACCGAGATTATAATTCCACCCCCATATAAGGCAAACATGTATACATAACCATACATGGGCGTATTGACCCTGACAAAGATTAGAGTTACCTCCCTTCCCCTACTTCCCTGTCACGTTGATGTTTCCGCACGTGTTCAACATCGTGATGACCTTGTCGCAGTTTTATGTAATAAACTGTTACCGGCATTTATGCACTTAGTTACACGGAGATATAAGACTTATATACGAAGCCCACTTTTGAATGTTTTTTTGCATTATTACTGGAAAGCAGGGTAGTTCACCCGCCTAAGGATATAGGTCAATTATTATAGATTTCGTGTGTTCAGTGGATCGTGCATAACAAACTTATCTGTACTTTAGTTAGTGCAAGTAAATTAATATAATATTAAATATATTGCCACATCACAATACACGTATATAACGTTGTTACCAATATCTACATTTAAAAAAAACGAAGCCTCAAACTTTTGAAATCCTTTACTTTAGACTAACATATAGTTTCTTAAATGATCATATTTTACAGAAAAATACTGTTTACAAAAAATAATCATAAATTATAATGAAAAGGAGTCCAGAGATTTTCTTCCTTCTCTGAAACTGTGGAAATCTAGACTTGCCACATATTCTAGACTTGCATGGGCTTTCTTGGATATATTTGTTTCAGGGTATGTATGACAGATTACCTTTACTTGTAAAAATATACTTCATCTCAAAATCATTAATGACGATACTCTCCAAAATACTACCAATGACACTGTATGTTGTGGACGATTAGATCATGTAATCGTCATAGGAATAATTTAAAAAACCAAATCAGAGTTATTATTGCCATGCTCATCATTCACCAGGAGCAAACCTGACAATATGTTATTACTGACACGATTCATGCCATGTTTGTGTTCTTTATTGGATCTATATATTATCACATCCTTGAAATACATTCAAAAACACCAGTAGAAAGAGCATTAGACTAAGGCTTGGTCTCTGAAATTATATAATTTGATAGTAACAAACAAGCCCTAGGGAGACCAGAGATTCAGAACCTGAACCTGAAGAAATCTAGACTTGCTTTCTTTAGGGCTTTAACACACTGCAGAGAGAGCTTGGCAGTAGGGAAAATAATGTGGTTCAGGGACTGTGAGACAGACTAAAAGAGCATGTGCAAGTTGTAGATGCAGCGGTAGCATTTTAGTATATTTTTGTTTGTTTGTTCCTTTTTTTCTTTAGCTAATTATAATTAGAAAAAGATACCGTCCTTGTTTTCGTGTTTTCCTTTTTTAGTTGTTATGCTGGTCCCTGTACTAACTTGATTTCTGCAGAAATAACGTTTACATATATGTAGCCGTCAAGGGTAATGCAATTTCCTTCACAAAGTCATTGCTATGAAGGGCTCATGTAATTAGGGTCTTAAAGGGAAGGTGCAGACTCGTTGATGGGAGGAGACACAAGCCACTCAACACGTGTCGAAAGGTGGTTTACACGCAACAACGTGGACCGATGTCCTTGTACGTCTCTTGGAGATGATGTTGGTACATTTAACAACAGTGAGTGAGTGATCTGGGTTTAATGTCACTTTCAACGGAAATTTAGTTATATTAGGGATTGCCAATTTACTTTAATTTCATTCATTCATTCATTCATTCGTCGGGGCGGTGGGGTAGCCTAATGGTTAAAGCGTTGGCTCGTCACGCTGAAGACCCGGGTTCGAATCCCCACATGGGTACAATGTGTGAAGCCCATTTCTGGTGTCCCCCGCCGTGATATTGTTGGAATATTGCTAAAAGCGGCGTAAAACCAAACTCAGTCAGTCAGTCAGTCAGTCATTCGTCCGTTCCGGTACATGTCTTAGACGTTGACCACTTTGGTTAAGGCCCATACGAGGTCATGGTGACCAGGAATCAATGGGACTGAAACACCTATCTTCCTTCGGGATACGGAGTGGTTGGGTAGCATAGTGGTTAAAGCGTTCGCTCGTCACACCAAAGACCCGGGTTCGATCCCCACATTGGTACAATGTGTGAGGCCCATTTCTGGTGTCCCCCACAGTGATATTGCTGGAATATTGCTTAAAGCGGCGTAAAACTAGACTCACTCCCTCCTTCAGGATGGCCCCCACTGGCCTAAAGTCCGGACCAAATAAACGAGTGACTGATATAATGAGCAATGTTCGAGCAAGGATGGGACCGTTAACAAGTCACCAAACTGACAACACGATCCATTTAGAGGCCTCTTAAAATTGCTTCCACTCCTTTCCCTGAAGTACGTTTAGAGTGAGTGAGTGAGTATGGTTTAACTCCGCTTTTAGCAATATTCCAGCAATATCAAGGCGGGGACACCAGAGAGGGGTTCACACATTGTACCAATGTAGGGGATCGAACTCAGGCCTTCGGCCTGACGAGCGAACGCTTTAACCACTGGGCTACCCCACCGCCCCTGTTGATGATGAAGGTAGAGAGATGATGTAGACAGTTCCGGCAGCAGT